TAAACGAAACCTTCGACTGGTTAGAGAATATTTTCACCGTATGAGGGCGCTGGACTTGTCAGGTTTTGAACACATGATAACTGAAGACGGCCTGCACTATATTTTGAAATATGCGTCTGGTCTACAAGAATTAAGGCATGTTGAAAATTAATACTTTTTCACTGTTGGTGCATATTTGCATTTTATTACAATAAAATGAAAACGTAAATACTCCAAAATGACAACTTTAATACCAGTGGTGGCGGCAAAGGCGACCACCCCCCTCGAAAAAAATGTTGGGGGCATCACCCCTTTAAAATCAAGCTTTGCCCCACAAAAAGGGAGAAATAGCATTTCAGATGGTCTAGATTTCAAAATTTTTATGGGGGAACATACCCCCTAGGAAGATCACGCCTTCAATGCAAATTTGGTGAGCAGATCCTGCCCCTCCATGTAAAATTTTGTGACGCCGCCAACTTAACACATTTAGTTTTCAACTATAGGATTTTGAAAGGAACATTGAAAATAAAAAAATTATTTTCAATTTGAGACTGTTCACATTATCTTTGATTCACTAGGGGATATTTTTAGTTATTTGCACATCCAGTCTGCAGCCAAGAACCCAACGAAAATTAACAAGGGGTAAAGTGGGTGTTTTTTTGTTAGGACAATAGCTGACGGTCTTGGAATTCTTGCACAGTAATTCGAACATACCTGTATGCAATTGAAAATTGTGAAATTGAATCAAGCTCAACGTATATTATGAACTCTAAGTGACTATACTTTATACTGGATCTTTATACTTTATTGCGGACCTTCGTTAGCCAAATATTAAACATTATATGATGTTGATTTTATTACGCATTAACAATCATCATTGTTTTGACAGGTGTGACAATTGCTGGCGTGCTGTGACAGAAGCCAATCTCTTGACAATTAGCAAGAAAAGTCCAAAACTAAGAGCACTGACAACAAGTCATAACCAAAGTGTAACTGACTTTAGTATCTTGATGTTAGCACAAAACTGTCCATTGTTGCAGGAACTAGATCTCAGTAGCTGCTTTAACGTAAGTTATTATCTAGAGTACAACAAAGAATCGTCTGTCTGTCTGTCTGTCTGTCTGTCTGTCTGTCTGTCTGTCTGTCTGTCTGTCTGTCTGTCTGTCTGTCTGTCTGTCTGCAAACCTTGTTCTAATTTCAATGAAATACTGGAATTAAATACTAAAAAGTTCAAAATCTGATTATTATAAAATAGTTTTTTGGCAAAAGATGGCCCTAATAAATGCAATTTCAATACGACAGACTTACAGAAGGCTTATGAATTGATCTGTTTGGAGGTACAAGGTTGACTTGTGGTATCGTTATTAGTTAATTAATAACTTCAGTCAACTTCAAAGACTTAAATATTATCAAGGATCACATTTTGAAGTTGCTTGAATTGCAAAATGACTACGGAGTCTCACACCAAACAAATTTCCTGAAAGAGTGTTCGTCTTTCTCTTTTTTTTTTATGTGTTTATGCATAAATGTGTACTGCATGTTTTTTATGTTTTGAAGACACTCCACTGCATTCTGTGACGCTATTGGTTAGAAATACATTCAACTAAAGTTCACAAAGAACTCAAACCCAATGGGATTGTTTATCACGTTACTTGGATATATCAGTTGCATACCCTTATCTAATACATGTATTCCTATCAGTGTTGAATTATCCTTCAATGAATTTCAGTGCCATTTTACTAAGTGGAACAAAGTGCAACATGAAAATGAACAAGGCTTTCATAGTTTCACTATGCTCTTTAAGTTGACAGATGAGAGTATCTGCATGCTTGCTGGGATTTGTAAAAACTTGCGTGAGTTGCATCTGAGCAGTAACTATGGCGTTACCGATGTCAGTGTTATCGAACTTGCCGAAAATTGTACCAGCTTGGAAGAATTGGATGTGAGTTATTGTTACAAAGTCACCGATAAAGGGTTGAGAGAATTCTGTAATAATGAAGAAAGTAAACTGAAGTTGCTGAGGATAAAGAACTGTAATGATGTGAGTCCCTACATAGCCTAGAATATGTATTGTTCCACTACATCTCACTATTCATTTATTAATTGCAATCAACTAGAGACAGAGAATGTTATTGATTAATGTGGAGGTGAAGCTTTCAAACAATTAACACGGAATGTGTTATTTTCACAAGCACGTTTATGACATCCAGCATTGCATAAATGTTAATGAATGATAAGATATTACTATAATTTTACTTTCTGCAGACAAAAATTTTCACTTTTTTGTGGACAAATCGATTCATGACATTTTATGTGGTTTTTGACTCCCGTGTGCGAAGCACAAAAGGGAGTCTTTGCAGTTACCCTGTCTGTATGTCTGTATGTATGTATGTATGTATGTATGTATGTATGTATGTCACTTTTTTTGTTCCACCGTTATCTCAAGAACCACTAATCAAATTTTGGTGAAACTTGGTACATAGATGCTCTGGGATAATGCGCAGAGTTGATTAGGTTTTGGTAA